CGCTCATCTACGTTTGGTTCTTTCCTCGTCCCTCTTGACAGGACACTTCGAAAACATGTGGGTATTTGACCCACCTGCTGAACATTGCCACGTGGTACGGTATTGTGTCCGAAAAAGTGAGAATGTGCAGTACAGTTCCGCAATATCTTATTCCTGTTCAAATATAATATACCTTTATCATTTGATAATTTCCAGTCTGCTCGCCTGTTTTTTACACAACCCTAATCGATACTTAATTCAAGTATAAAATTCGGCCCATCACTGGTCGTCAATGTGCGAAATTATTTACGTCATCGCGAACTGTCTAAATCCATTGTGTTTAGGTGTATGTGACAGATCTTGACGTGCTCTTTCAGATTACGTCCAACACATCGCTATAGGATATATACTTCATGAGGAATTCACGAAAGAAAAAAGGAAAATATCGGCCCATCACTGGTCGATCACGTTAAGTCCGTACATGGCCCCGAATGCAGCTCATCACTTTGCACGCACACACAGAGGTACTTCACAAGCATCGCATTTCGCGGCCCGCACCTAATGATATGGTGCGTAAGTATACCAAGCCACAAAGCTATCTTTTACATCACACATCACATCACCTACTAAATGCCTACCGGTATGTATTGTGTGGTCACACAGCTTGGGCATTGCGTCTCAAAGCTAAGCAAAACCAACTTTGGAACATATCGGCCAATGACGAACATTTTCATGGTTCCGATTGGTCGTGTACCTAATTGTCTCTAATTGGACAGAAATATCCAATCACCATGCGTTAACTATTTTCATCCAATGAAATATAAGTCCTGTGATGGATTTACCAATGCGCATGCCTGAATAGTTTTCAAGGTACCGCTTGGAGCTGTACCGGTTGTGATCAGATTTCACTGACATTTTCATAGGTACTGAAGCGGGGGGTATACGGTAGTGCTTTAAAACAGTCCCACTATTTCTTTCCTCAGAAATTGGTGCTTATATGAGATTTAGTATGCTCTGTCCAGGTCACCTCTTAACCCTGGGGATTTAGCATTAAATGTACTCAACGGGGATAGGACGGAGTCCCAGGTTTCAGGGCTACGGGGCTACTAACTGTAAAGTGCATCCGGATGGTATAATTCCCTGGTTAACAGACGGTTTTTTTGGTCAAGGCAACAGCATTAACCCTAAGAGCATCTCCAACGGTAAATTCTAACCTATTGCTAAAGCATAGGTTAAAGTCAAACTTCGTTTTTACGGTTGCTATTTTGGCACTATCCGGACTCTTTAGAAATTTCGTCCCACAGAATTTCTATTTTCGCGTGATATAGCAACAAACCCTCCGGATAGAGCAAGAGTTTCTATTCTATATCCGTAACTTCGAATTGAAATAGAAATAGAAACGCCGTTGGAGATGCTCTTAGAGCATCTCCAACGGCGTTTTTATATTAAGGGACGGGAACTTTTTCTGCATATCGGGAATTGCTCTTCAGTGTCAACTGCACTACCGGTATGATGATACTATTAATACATAGGTGTACAGTGACTGTAGTACTGTACTACACTGTACGTAGTACTACTACTGTACTATTAATAGTAAGCTTACTCCGTAATTATTGTGGAGGGTTAAGTGTACAGTACAGAACGGTAGTACTCCCACAACACTTGACATGCTTAAATCCCCTCTTTTAGGACAGAAAGCATGTACTAGTATTACTGTAATAGTACCGGTACTCCGTATGAAGTACTACTACGTACTAGTAGTACTTAGTACACGATACAGTAATGTTATCCCAACATCACACCTGTTAAGTTAAAAAACGAAATCACAACTGTAAACGGCACTCCAATACGTTTGTTGTTTTGGTCACAACGTCGACAAGAACTCTTTCGCCCCTTCGTACGAGGCAAACATGACGGCAGCGTACGGCACCACCCGCACCATGTTGGGCAAAGTCCCTCGGTATAACGACATCGCCCCTTCGTCCCGGACCACTTGTTTGACGCAGTCCAGCATCCCCGTGTACCGCTTTGTGGTGTCTACCTGCAGACGCTTCTTGACGCTATCAAACGGGTACGACACAAGCTGAGCAATAGCCCCCGACCAGCTCCCCACGATCAAATGGTCTACCGAGTTCAGCTGGCGCTTGTGCTCTGGCCAGCGCCACGCCGGCCACCGCTGCTGCACAGCGTAGCTTTTGCTGTATTCGTAACATGCGAACTGGATTCCTTCGAACGGAATCGAGCCCACCAAGCCGGAGAGGCAGCCCCGATAGAGCCCCCGGACGCCCTCGTTTGTGTAAATGCGCGCCAATTCCGCGTGAATGCCTCGAAAAGCCGTGGCGTCCTGCATGATGATCCGCGTGCGGACCACTTCCATTGGATACACGGCAAGGGTGGCGCCCATGCCAGCAATGGCTCCATGCACCGCCTTCTCCATGTGTGGCGCGTTGGCTGCCGACGACTTGGACTGCAACGTGTCGAAGATGCAAAACTTCACCCCTGCGTACGGCCCGAGCCGGAAGCACCCGGCCAAGTTGCCTTTCCAAAAGCCACGGATGCCTTCGGATACGTAGAGCTGTTGACATGCGTGGTGGATGGAGCGATGCGCGGTGGGATGGCTCACTTGGAAGAGGATCTTCATCACATCCAAGGGCGATGTGCAGGACCGTGTCACGCAGCCCGCAAACACCCCCGCGAGAACGGAGTGGACTCCATTGATCTGAGAGATCGCCGCCGACGTGGCCAAGGTCTTGTTGGTTGTTGTAGTCATATTCAATTGTGAGCCACTTCGAGTATCGTTGAAGCACTCGAAGGAAAGCAACATGGCAATTAAACCTAAATTAGTGGGTCTCCGACTCAATTTGAGCCAATCAATAGTCGAGGTTTTATTTCCACGCTTGGACTTTTTGTAACTGTCGGTCCATGGTTTAAAATGATCTCGTTTTTTGTATGGTCTGTAGAAAAAATGAGGATGCGAAACTTCAACATGCGTCGATCTTGAAAACAACAACACTAATGGATGGATAATTGCAAATGGAATGCGCCAATGGCATCGCTGCAAGTTATCATTAACCATTTCAAGCATGTCACCTGCAAACACCATGGAAACATCGCGAACGTCCCCACAATCCACCAACTTTCATACACCCTCGCAGAGATTCTCGGCGACACTTCTAGAAGCCCTATAAAAGAACTTCTACTCGTAACGTTTAACGACCTCCTGCACAGAGTCGTCAGTCAACTGGGGTAGCCTTTGCCGTTGGGCTTTGCAAATGAGCAACTTATGAAGAAGCATGGGATTTACTGTGGGCGCAAGTTCGAGGCTACTTTTGTAGAAATCTCAACTAACTTACTTCTAGGGACGGACGCATAAACAAACTTGCCATACTATAATAATAATACTATGTTGTATTAATACTTAAGTGCAAATGCATCAATGGGTTCTATCGGAAACGTCGATTTGCCGAAGCTCGAGAACACCCCCAAGTCAGTGTTTCATTGGCCCCCCATCTTAATTATCACGTCAGATGTAGCCACTTTCCTCAACACACACGAACAAAGTGCACATAATTTGTACTACAAGGATCAGTATGGTGCGAAATCCAAGAGCCGTAAAGTCGAGCAACTGAGGCGTTGAATTCTCCACCTAGTTGTAAAGTACGCTAAACTCGTCTTAGCTATCGCTCTCGGGTATGTCTCTCAACCTTAGGTGGATCAATCGACGAGCGAGTTATGATTTCGTAATACTAGCAATTTACACTGCGTTAGATCACGATATCAAGCACCATACTTGCCACATGACCCAATCAGAAGGCAAATTCTCGCAAATCCACATGCGCTTGCATGGAACTGTACCCGCCGTGGCTGAAGATGGCAGCGTCGTTGAACGTCGCCACTGAATCTTGGCGCGACGAATGCACGAGCCAGGAAGATGCTGAGAGATATTCTTTCGTCCCTTCGTACGAGGCAAACATCACGGCGGCGTACGGCACCACCCGCACCATGTTGGGCAAAGTCCCTCGGTATAACGACATCGCCCCTTCGCCCCGGACCACTTGTTTGACGCAGTCCAGCATCCCCGTGTACCGCTTGGTGGTGTCCACCTCCAGACGCTGCTTGACGCTGTCAAACGGGTACGACACGAGCTGGGCAATAGCCCCCAACCAGCTCCCCACGATCAAGTGATCGACAGGATCATCATGCAGGACGCCACGGTTTTTCGAGGCATTCACGCGGAATTGGCGCGCATTTACACAAACGAGGGCCTCCGGGGGCTCTATCGGGGCTGCCTCTCTGGTTTGGAGGGCTCGATGCCGTTCGAAGGAATCCAGTTCGCATGCTACGAATCCAGCAAAAGCTACGCTGTGCAGCAGCGGTGGCCGGAGCATAAGTGCAAGCTGCGTGCGGACTACTTGCATGGGATACACGGCAAGGCTGGCGCCCATGTCAGCGATGGCTCCATGCAAGTTCTCCTCCATGTGTGGCGCATTGGCTGCCGACGACTCGGACCTCAACGTGTCGAAGATACTAAACTTCACCCCTGCATACGGATCGAACCCGAAACACTCAGCCAAGTTGCCTTTCCAAAAGCCACGAATGCCTTCGGATACGTAGAGCTGTTGACACGCGTGGTGGATGGAGCGATGCGCGGTGGGATGGTTCACTTGGAAGAGGATCTTCATCACATCCAAGGGCGATGTGCAGGACCGAGTCACGCAGCCTGCAAATACCCCCGCGAGAATGGAGTGGACTCCGTTGATCTGAGAGATCGCCGCCGACGTGGCCAAGGTCTTGTTGGTTGTAGTCATATTTAAGTGTGAACCACCACATGTCGAGAGCTGGAAGGAATGAATCATCATAGCAAAACTAACAGTAAATTAGTGGGTCTATGAAGCAATTTGAGCCAATCAACAGTCGAAATTTTATTTCCAATCTTGGACTTCTGTAACTGTCGATCCGTGGTTTTAAGTGATCTTGTTGTTTGTATGGTCTGTGGAAAAAATAGGGAAAGCCGAATATGCGAAAACACGAATATGCGAAACTTCAACATACCGCGTTCCTGAAAAAACACTAATGGATGGATAAGTGCAAATGGAATGCACCAATGGCATCGCTGCAAGTTATCATTGACCATTTCGGGCATTTCACCACCTGCCAACGCCTGCGAACGCCCCCACAATCCACAAACTGTAATACACCATGGCAGAATGTACAACGAGCGAAGGGATTATCGGTGACACTTCTAGAAGGCTATAAAACACTCCTAACGACATCCTCGTCAACTGGTGTGATACTGTATTGGTATTGGTATTTCGATTTCAAAATGGCCTGGGGCTGCCAATTGAATCGACGCAGTGATAGACGGACCGAAGTACCGGGTAGCCAAATAAATTATCGAATTAATACCTTTTGACCAATCCATTTGCAGGTGTATCTGGTGTCACGAGTTCAAAAGGGACACACCGTCTAGCGTTCGCCGTTACCAAAACGGCTCGCTGCCACCCGACGGTAATGGAGAAACGGATGGTCGCTGTCAAATGCGATCCGATATCTTCGCTAGATGGACGTGTTGCAATACTGTGGCATCATTGTATCTGACAGGATTCACAGTGAGTATATTTATTAATGTTGTTACTCAAGTAAAACGACGTCTCGACGACTTCAGGTGGATTTCCAATCTACCGAAAATACCAAATTTAGCTTGAAAGCACAATATTGGCTTTGCAAATGAACAAGTAATGAAGGGTCGAGCAAGCACTTGGCTACTTGAGATCTCAACTAACGTAGAGTTCCAATTTGCTGTTAAGAGACGACATACTAGGTATTTTGGAGTCGCTTCTGGGAAATGGAAGCAGCTTGGCAGGAATGGTTTTCGACTTCTGAAACTGATCATTCAAGAGGAAACAAAGGTCTTTCCACGTAAGTTTCGATTTTCAAAGTATCTATCGTGTCCTCATGTCCCATTTTCCAAGCAAACACCTCAAAAGCAAGGGGCATATTTTAAGCTTGATCGTAGTATTGATCCTTTCATACTTCATTTTTTGTGGTTAGGGTATACTATTACAATACGAAGTACATACTACATGTATGTACGTACTGTAGTAGTACTGTACCACTCCGGAGTACAGTACTACGTAGTATTAATACAGTAGTACGCAATATACTATTAATAGTTATTATAATACCAGTAGTACTGTACTTCTGTCAGGTCCATATTGCAACCCCAACAGGAGTAACCTGTTGGGGTTTGTATTTAATTATAGAGCCAATTGGTGAATTGATCTATAAAACACATGGGATTAAGGAGATAATTTTTTTAAAGAGGTATTTCTACACAAATTTCAAGGTGAATAGCTGACTGTGAATCTGATGTCCCTTAAATTGTTCCATGTCTCTTAAATTTGGAAAAATTGCCGTACTACTACATAGTACTTCCATCCCGTGTATAGTGGTCGAAGGCGTGGAGGGGACAAATATACAGTACGTGTACCTCAAGTTCGAGACAACCTTTTTCTGCGAAATACTGGATTGGGGCACAAAACATCCATTAGGTGAAAGCCTTAGAAAATGATATCCTACGATATATGTTACGAAACTATCTAAAACAATGCCAAATATCAACGCGACAGGACATAACCCCTATTAATGCATACCAGTGATTTACAAAGGGCTATCCCAAAGCGTGGCTTGCACTGAGTGCGAAGTAGAATTCGCAGTCCAATTTCGTCCTTTGCAAGTAAGTACCGGTACTAACGTAAAGTGCAATTAATGGCGTATGTGCCAATTAATGAAGTATAAAGCTAAGCCAATCACTGAGCCCCTAACTGGAAAAACACCAATCACAGAAGAAACCTCGTAATATGAATACTTGTAGCCATACAACACCAAAGGTTAAATTTTACGTCAACAATTGGTACACCACTTTATAGAGGTAGGGCATATATGATGAGCTGTACAATATACAGCTCAATTGTGCGAAGTATACAGTTCCATTGTGCGCTGTACATCGCATGTCGATGATTGGTGGATTGCCGTGAAAATTGTCTACAAATTAGGACTTTTCAGGATTCAAAAAGGATGCCTAAATCAGGAAATATAGCACTTCTCCGAAATACTAAACAAGTTGTATTGCAACAATTGGCATTCTAGGTTTCCTCCGTCCCAGTTTAACCACTCGATAAGGAACGAACTCAGTGTGTTTGAAATGTTTGGAGATTCAGGTACCTTTCGAACCGGGAGAGCCAGTACAATTCAGTACGCCTGAAATCGATGTCAAAATAAGGCAATGACAAGTGGTAGAGCATGAAGTTTATATACTTTATCACATGTAATAATAAGCAATAAAACAATGGCCAAAACGAAAAAACTAACCGTATGATTTTCACCCATATCCGTACATGAATTTATTTTGGCAATAATTCATCAAAAATACTCAAATTTCCACCCAAAACTACGAAAAATATCAGCATTGATTGGTCCTAAACAGAAAAGGCATCAATGGGTTGAGTTTTATCCGAAACGTTCATTTGCCGAAGCTCGAGAACTCTCCCACCCATCTTAATTATCACGTCACACGTACTGTAGCCACATCCCAAGCTAACTGCACATAATTTGTACAATGATCAGTATGGTGCGAAATCCAAGAGCTATAAATCCGAGCAACTCGAGGCGTTCAATGCTCCTCCACCAACAGTAGTTGAAGTACAGCAGTACGCTAAACTCGTCTTAGCCACATGCATCTTTAGCTCTTGGGTACTTCAGTACGCCTCTCTACCTTCGATCAACCGAGGTGTGTTATTTCGTAATACTAGCAATTTACAGTGCGTTTGGTCACGATATCAAGCACCATATTTGGCCACATGACCCAACCGGAAGGAAATTTCTCGCAAAGCCACATGCGCTTGCATGGAACTGTACCCGCCCAGGCTGAAGATGGCGGCGTCGTTGAACGTCGCCACTGTATCTTGGCGCGACTGGTGGCGGAGGTAGAACGAATACACGAGCCAGGAAGCTGCCGAGAGGGTCTCGTACTGGCCGTTCCGCTTGAGCCAGCTTTGCGGCGGCACTGGAAATGGAATGTCGGTGGGGTTGTGGGCTGGAGGTCGGCTGGTGGATTCTTTAACGATACCCACAAAGCACGTCGAGTCGACGTTGGTGGACAGAGATACTAAACACTCGTTCAGGGCATCTACACGTTCGAATTGCAGTACACACTGGTAAAGCTTAGGGCTACGTACCGTTCATCTCTGACAAGTCCAAGTGCAGTACCACAATGCTGCGCTTGGACGACGCTATAAATGCAAGAACGCGGGATGCCAGAGCATGCGGCGGTGCGCATTCCACCGTCGCCGCATTGGCCAGCGTGGCGCAAATGTCGATGGAAGTAGTCAGGACAAGATGAGGGATTGACAGCGCCTTCAGGCTGCAAAAGACATGGTGATTGCGTTTCTAAATAGCAAGCAGGGGTGCATCAAGAGGCATACATGGAAGTCTTGTCGGTAGCGTGGCCCATGTCCAGCACTTGCTTGAACGAGGTGGTTGCTTCGGAGCCTGGTGGGTAATACATGCAGAGGGATGGTCCAGTCAGCAATGGTACAGTAAAAGCCTTCGGGTACATTACCTGTAGACACGACAAGCGAGCCATTACTCCCATTCTTAGCGATCAAGTTTAAGGACGTCCATTCGGTCTTGCTTGACTTGGCCACTGGTGTCTCCTTCTCACTCAGGTACACCAGCACAGCGTAGGTCGCTATCAATGGTGGCAGTGTCATCCTGCCGCCGCTCTTGCGAAGTTGGACAATGCACAAGGACACTGTAAGTGCGATTTCTCAGGTGTCTCGTACTTTACGTGATTGCAGTTTAAAATAGTGTTAGTACCTTACCACCTCGGAATCAGTACTGTAGTGCTTATATATTCTAGTATTGTTCTGTGGCTATACATGTATCCCAAAGTCTAGTTCCAGTATACACCTACACGTCAGCATTTACCCGTGGCTGGTCTGCAGTAGCCTTTTCATTATCCTGCACACTAGTACAGTACCAGTTACAAGCCTTTACAACTTAAATTAGTGTATATCTCCTGCGTTTTTTGTATTTTCAACCAATCCGCGGTCGTATTCAATACTAGTATCAGTCAATCAATTTGCTGGATTGCCCTTTGGTTCACTCACGGGAGTATAAAACGTAGCTATTAAACTTTGGTTGTTATTGTCTAGATCATACTTACCTGACTGGTGCTCGACCGTGATCAACAAGGCGGTTGACATGAGCCGGAGCAGGCCTTCACGCACTCCGGTGCTGTAAGGGCTCAGGAGTACCTTCGGGTATTTCCACAGTGCAATTTTTGCCAGCGGAGGTGTGCGCGTGCGCCACCTCCACCCCCCCTCCCTCGTATTCCCTCCTTTTCCCCTATCAACCAACTACGTCCAACCTCTTCCTTTGCCCCTAACAACAACGATTACCCCTTTGGACTCCTCGTTCTTACTACTAAGTATATACCCCACGACAACGAAATCCTGTACGTACTAGGTATTAATAGTAGTGTACTACCGGTACTACGAAATCGTCGGGACTTATTTTATATATGGAACGATAGGAAAACTGGACTAATAATACAATGTTCGTTTTGGATTGAGGTTGCTAATCGTATGTATAGACTACTAGTATTTCAGACATCGTGAAAATTGTACTACTAGTACGCATTACAGTAACACCATTTTGCGGTTAATTTCGATATTGCTAACGTCAATGGAATTTCACGAAATATACCAGATCTTTTTCGAAATTAACCACAAAATGGCGGTCTATGGTTTACAACTTGAGCGCCGTGACCAGTTCGGGGTCCACAATCGACTTGATCAAGCCGTTGCCGTTGAGGATTTTGGTCGTAGCAATCACAATGTCAAATGGACATTCTGGCTGCTTGGACAGGTGGCGCAGCGCCGCGATTTCCATAAACGTCACCCCCCCGACAAAGAACACGACCATGACCTTGCGTTCGTCCGCGCCAAACCCCTTGTCCTTCTTATCCGTCGTCGCCCCTACAAACAGCGTCACATGTCCCATTTTGCGTGCCGCGTCGTACCGGGGGCTTCGGCGACCGGCGGAGCCTGCGAAAATTCCTCGCTCGGCCCCGGCAGCTGCTTCATCGTGTCCTGGATCGTCTTCCATCCGGTCGTGTGGGTCATCTTGTTGGTCGCAGCGATTTCCACCAGCCGGACGCTCAACGGCGCATACCCCTTTGTCACATACCTATTCGATCGTACGCGATTCAACTCGTCATAGTTTATGCGACACGGTTGTGTGCATTCAGTGTCAAAACTATGATTTCTCTCGTACCTGTGCATGTTCATGGAATTCAATTTGTATACAACAATCAAATAAATATGAACATTTAAAAAAAATACTGCGAAGTATTGTCGATTTGATATACAAATTTGGGGAGAGGGTGCAATCGAATCAAGCCGACCAAACCGATCCACAATCGATCTGATTGGTTGAATTTCATTGAGAACGTTTTGATTGGCTAATAATTTTGAGCTGATCTGATGTAGCCAATCAAATCGATTTAAATTCCAACGAGAAACCACGCCACAACACGAAATTTCACTCGAAAGCACAAAATTGTGGATTCGATACGAATTTCCAGACCCCGTCGAATCGAATGACCTCGCCACCGAATCGAATCATCACGATCGACGCTATTGGCTAATCTATTTTTGAGTGGATTTGATTGGCTGCTCTTGCAGAAAGGTCACATATATTCGACCAATCAGAAATCCAGCGTGATTCAATATATTGATTCGACAAACAAGGCGAACTTTGGAAGTTTATAGCGAATTCACAATATTTATATCTTGCAGGTGTACAAGTGATGATTGGAGTTTATTTGAGAATTCTATACTCATATTCACGTTTTCTGATAAATACAGTAGTAGGTAGGTTGACCAGCCAAATGTGAAATCATGCAGTCAAGTCGACTCTGACTTGGTGTATGGCGAGATCATGACAAGTCTTGAAATACAAAGATCAAAATAAAAACCCATCGATCGATTGAGATACTCCAATGGTCAAATCGATTCGAAATGGGAGGCGGTTTGTGCTCAATCGAAAGCGCAGCCCCAAATCAGCAGCAATCGAAAATCGACCAATCAAGTAGCCAATCAAATTATCCACTCTTCGATACCAATTCAACCCAGAAGAATTGGCAGAAGAAAAAAATTTGTTTTTATATCATTCGTAATTTAATATATATATATATATTTATTAAAATCAACAACAAAATGTTTTCTAGAAAAATTAAATTTTAATAAAGAATTTTCTAGCCAATCAGATTGCACGAAACCATTATCTGCGTCAAATTAGTGTATGCCTTGAATTGATACCCGATCACCACTGAACACCTTTTTTACATACAAAATTCAGTACAAAGAAAGCATCGATCGATCGATTTGGCAAAGAATCAGCACAACAGTAGTCCAAATTTGGGGTCACACGACAATACCAAAGTCAGTACAAACAATCGAGATCATATATAGAGATGGCGAATCATAACTGTACGTCCAAATGTGGGGTAAACGCATCAAACATGTGTAAACATGTCTATGACGACGACGTACGCAATATCTTTGGGGTTGAGCACGTTCACGTTGTCATTGATAAGGCGCAGCGACTTGCGCACGGTGAGGAAGGCCGACGAAGTGGCGACGGGGAACAAGCTGTCTTGGCGGCGGAGAAGTCCGACTTTTTCAAGGTTGCCCAAGATCAGCAGCATCTCAAACCCGTACGTTTGGATGAGTTCCCGGCGCAGTAAGTCGAATGACTTGGCTTTGATCCCGCCAGTCGTGAGCGACTGCAGACACAGCAGCCTTAGCACTTTAAGCAGAGGTTCCTGGCACCCGATCAGTTCCTCCAGTTCTTCGAGCAACGACTGGCCTTCCAACATGGACCGTTCATGGTGCCACAAGTCTGTAAAGGCCTTGGAATCCGTCGTCCGCTTGATCAACTATGTACAGTACGTATTATAGTGTGAGTGTTTCATCGCGTATTATAGTGTGAGTGTATCATTGCGTAATATAGTGTGAGTGTATCATCGTGGTTGTTGTTGACGGGGAGGACAATATAATCGAACAAAAACATATCAAGACCCCAATCATCCAAACCCACACAACACACGAAGAATCAAGTGGCCCATCGTAAATGAAGAAGTATTGAGGTTATTGTCGTATATATTCGATACGATACGAGTAATTTCCAGACGACCCCGTCGAATCGAAGTATCTCGCCGCCGAATCGAATAATCACGAATAATCGACACGCTAGGATTATAATATATCGAATATTTTGTTTGTGGATTATTTGATTGGCTGCTCTTACATGTATATTCTAAAACCAAAATCTGAACTCCAGCGTGGTTCAATACGAGTAGGATTGGTTGGACAAATGAAGCGAATTTTGGAACTTTACAGCGAATTCACAATACAGATACGAATTCTTTTTTATCCTTGTATAAAAAATATTATATAATAATTTAGGTTTGAGAATACATTCTAAAACAAATGTATAAAAGAATTTTATATAATAAAAGCGCATGTCTTATTCAGGTTTGAGAACACATTATATAAAACAAATTTATAAAAATGATCTCGCGTCAACGACGTGTGTGACCACTTTGCACGGGTTTTACATACAAACTTTAGGACAAACAATCGATCGATAGCAAAATAATATGTCCACGTGTGGCGGAAACCAAGGGTTGGTTACATTGGACACAAAAGGAGGATCCAGACGACAAACGGTGGTTCTACTAGGCTAACCGAGCTCAATAATGGTCAATGGACGCAAATAGAGCTAAACACAGTGTAAATCGTGATATAAAAATGATGTAAATGATGTAAGTCGACCTCGGCAAAGTTGATGTGGAGCTGCAGCGCCGCGTACGACTGCTTGAGGCCAGGAATGCGCTTGACAAAGTCGCGGATTTCCGAAATCGATGCGTTTTTCTTGCGGAATTCCTCGTATCTGGTGCATATTTGTGTGTTATTCGAAGCGAGGGCTGGTTCACGCACCGTTCTCGAATTTCGCGCGCTTTGTTCTGCAAATGCGCACCCAACCGCTCCGTGTGATAGTCGCGCACTTCGGCGTACAAGGCGTCCGTCGAGTTCAAGTTGACGGGGACGAGTCCGGCCGCCGCTGGTTGTTTCTTGGCCTTGTCTGAATCGTCCTCGACGAGCTCTGCGTCCACCTTGACGACCCTGCATGAACATGTGATGACGCCAACAAGGAGTAGGAGATGTGTACCCGTTGGTGATGCCGATGATCTCGTCCAACAGGCCTTCGTACGTGAACGGAGTGACGAGCGGCGACACTAGGTCCACGGTACGATCGAGCAGGATCAGCGTGTCGATCTCGGGCTCGACGGAACCGACGCCATGGCCTTCCGCCTGCCGCTTCTTTTGAAACAACGCCATGGACTCGACCACGACTTGCGACATGGACCCCTTGTACTTGACGTTTGGGATGAGACCAAACAGCGACTGGAGCTTATTCACGGACCCCGCCACGGTGTGCAGGCTGCTTCGATCGTTGTGGACAAACAGGTCGTTGAACCCGTCTGACAGTTCTAGACTCAAAATGTCCTCCTCCACGGGCACCAAATCCATGGGAAATTCGCCGATCACGAGCGAGCCCATGACGCCGGCTTTCTTGAGCATTTCGTCGCAAGCCAACGTTCGCTTGGGCGCGTAGTAGAGATGGAAGCGCAGCTTGACCTTCCCCGCGAGAGCTACGGGCATGGGTCAGTGACAACGTGGACGATGACACGAACACCTTTGATGGTGGTCGCGACTTGATGGACAGCCGCGACGCTCGGACGGACAATGAACACCATCACATCGCACCCAGATGGCGGCCCGGGACCAATGTCCACCGTGAGTTCTTTGAACTGCACAATTCCATGGTCCTTGAGCACTCCAGCACCTTCGACAAGCACTTGAGCCACGAGGCCACTGAGCTCCGGGTCCAATACCAAGGACAGATTGGAGCGTTCCTTGTCGCGAAGACTATCCAATATGCCGAAGAGTTCGCGGCGCGCATCTTCACGGAAGACGCTGAGGTTGATCGCGCTGTTCTCCAAGCTACTTACCCTTGATGCCATGTTCGTTCTTCGCAAGGCGGTAGCAATAACTCCCCCTCGCTTGTGATTGGTTCTTTTTAGCGTAGATATGATTCGCTGAAATTAAGAATAATATATCCAATGAAATATCTTTATTCGTTCAATCCCATCTGGCGGTGGAATCTTCGTGTGGTGAACAATGCTTGTCATAAAAAATAAATGATTCTAAAGCAAATTCATTTATCTGGTTTCTATTTTCAACTCATACAATACGGTACCATATGCTGCTCTCATGTGTCGAGTAGTATACTTATGTTGGTAGCTAGCTATATGAGTAAAGCAGGGCAATAGAATAAGTACACAACTTCCTTCGATCTTATTGTGCTGTAGAGCGGTGTTGTTCCTAACTTGGCATGAATAGATGCCAAAATATAAATAATTCATTTAACAAATCCACCCTGTTAATCCTAAATAGTGTATTTGTATGTACTACTATTTCATGAACTTGTCATCGTGTCACTGTTTGATCAACGTGAAACCGACATAAAGCATTCGCAGAACAACACGCATTCTTCATTTCCCCTGCTGGATACATGGCGGCATCCCACCGTGTCCTTGGACATCCCGACGTATTCCCGCTCATCGCCGAGTTCCAGCAAGGTCTGTATATGGACATCTTGGAGTACTGGCGGAAGGTCAACCAAGATGGCGGTGGAGGGTTCTGGGCGTCGTTAGATCTGCCGCTGCATGCCATTGACCGTCGACTGCTCGGCTCTCCCACCCAAGCCCGGTATCAACTGCTCGTTCTCGTGGCCGCGAATCAAATGCACCTCGTGCGCAGACTACTCCGTTGTCGACCACATTATCTCACCCAGCCAGGTGCATTTGACATCGTTTTCTTCGTAGTCAATCTCACATACATGTAGATGCCCCGGCCGTCATGGATGTCGCTGCTGCATTCGGTCGGATCGATCTTGTCCGATTATTCCACACGTTGTCCTTCGCTCCGTCACTATGCTCCACGAAAGCATTGGACCTGGCGGCGAAATACGGATACATGGACGTGGTCCGCTTCTTGCACCATCATCGGCAAGAAGGGTGCACGGAAGCGGCGATGGTTGGCGCGGCCACACATGGACATCTCGAGGTTGTGCGATTTCTCCACGACCATCGAGCTGAAGGCTGCACGGCGGACGCGATGGACTACGCGTCAACCAACGGCCACTTGGACGTTGTTGCGTTCCTTGTGGCGTGTCGACACGAAGGATGCAGCACATGGGCCATGGACACGGCGGCGGGCGCGGGACGGATGGACGTCGTGCGTTTTTTGCATTTCCACGTCAAAAGCGCATGCACCAGTACGTTTCCTCTTCCACGGTTTCGTCCGCGTCTGACACGATACTGGTAGTCAACGCCATGAATGCGTCGGCGGCGAATGGACATTTGGAAATCGTGAAATTTCTCCATCACCACCGCACCGAAGGTATGTGTTTGTTATAAGAACCGCTTTAAGGGTCCAACATCATGTTCTTGTAGGATGTACACAACGAGCCATGGACATGGCGGCCAAGAACGGCCATCTCCCAGTCGTCCAATTCCTCCATGAACACCGACGCGAAGGGTGTACGGAATTCGCCTTGCATAGCGCGGCGCAAAATGGACATTTGGGCACGGTGAAATTTCTAGCGCGTCATCGCAATGAAGGCAACGTTGTGAAAGCGATGGGCGTGGCCAAATTGCACGGACATGTGCAATGTGTAGCGGTGCTCCAGTGCGCAGCGTAGTTTTGAGTTATATGTTGTACTACTTGTCGAATGAAGAGGTGTAAGTTTTACGGTGAGAATACTCGCAAAGTGGGTGTTGGCTGCTACTACATACTACAATATGAGCACGATATAGGCTCTATTGGGGCATTCATTTTGATTTGTAAAGCCATGAGATACAGTACATGGACAACGAATTGCGGGTTGAGCGACAAGTGATTGTTCAAGTATCGTACTATTTGTGAATGAATATTGATATTACGCTGCAAAGTTAAAATCACTCAGCGGGCACTTCATGGCCTCGGCCGCGTACTAGCTGCTATTTGCGAATGAACTGAAAATACCCTGGACGGTCGCTATATAGTATACTAGTACAGTATGTACTATTGGTGCACGACGGAACCGAACTACCAAACATGGAATTGCCACGCCTGGTGTTTGACCTGTTGGTTGGGCATTCATTGTGAAGTGGGCTAAAGAGAGGCTACTAATGAATACAAGAGAGGGGTCACTATTGTTCATTCGATTCAAAATTGGAGTGGTGTATCGGCAGGGAATCGATCGACCAATCAAAACACAAAACTATCATCAACTAGCCAATCAAATCTACTCTTCGAATAATTCAACATTGAATTAACGTTAGTGTGTGATTGAAATTAGTGTGACACTGGACGATCTTTACATGCAAAAGTCAGCACAAAAGTCAGCCAAATATTGGGGAAAAGGACAATACTGCATCTTGCGTATAGATTGCGAGCGCGACATAGTATGTACTTTGAGGGTGTACTACCCCCAAAACAACTAGTTAACTCTTGGGGAAGAATGAGATGGTCGCATTGTGCATTGTCGCGTATTCGTTGTATCGTCTGTCTGTCTAGGTGTACAAGGTCGGAATCACCTAGTGTATGTATGCTCTCCGACGTATAACGTGGAAAAGAAATGAAACCTGGCCAATTCGAATCGAGCTTTTTGAAATCGGGGGGGAGGGTGTTCGAAAGGCGATGGCGTATCGTCGCTAGCGCCGCCACTCGGAACTCACTTGTGGTCTGTTATGTGGGTAGACCAAAGTGAGTTGTACAGTGTACTGGCTATGACTCCTTGCAGAACCTTCTTAGCCTGAGATTTCGATGAACCACTTGCATGGAATTGGATGCAATTTTACACCAAGCTATAAATAGATTAGCTTACACGCCGTTAAGTTCACAACTTTAAATGACGTTTCCACTGTGAACCAATGTGCGACGACGAACTAGAAAATGTAAAGCAAAGCACACGCGACATGACGTGCATGCGACAACTTTCCTAGGACGTTGAAACGTAAAGCAGGAGATCAATCTGCTAGTTGTCGCTCACATCACACAATTCAAAATGCAACAAACCATGAACACCAACAACCAACAAGGCATCATTTTGGCGACCACCCCCAACTGCTGCCCCGCGGGAACGCGCAAGGGATGGCAGTCGGTGGCTGCGGGGGTGATTGCTGGCTGCGTCACACGCACCACGACCTCGCCCCTGGATGTGCTCAAGATCTTGTTTCAAGTGAAAAGTCAAGGGGCTACGACGCTCCAATCCACATGCCGCACGCTGTTCCAAACGAGGGGTCTTACGGGGTTTTGGAAAGGCAACTTGGCGGGGTGCTGCCGCCTCGGACCGTACGCTGGCGTCAAGTTCTGTCTATTTGACCAATTGCAATCGCTGGCACACGGGGACAACGACGCCCCGACCAACGTCGGCCGAGTCACGTGTGGCGCGCTTGCGGGCATAGCAGCGACCTTCATCGTGTACCCCATGGAGCTCCTTCGGACGCGACTCATCGTGTCTCCCGTGCCTCTGACCATCCGTCTCGAAGCCCGGCGCATCGTGCAAGCCGACGGCCTCCGGGGGTTCTACCGCGGGTGCACGTCCGGGCTCGTGGGGGTTATCCCGTTCGAAGGCATCCAGTTTGCGTGCTACGAGTATGGCAAAGCGTATGCGACGACCCATCGCTGGCCCCCGTGCCGCTGGCCCCAAAACAAGACCCAATTGCAGACGGTGGACCACCTCGCGCTAGGCAGCATCGCGGGGGCCGTCGCACAAGTGGTCGCGTACCCGTTGGACACGATCAAGAAGCGCTTGCAGTTGCAGGGGTCGGGGTCCAACGCCCGATACGACGGCATGGTCGACTGCGTCGCCAAAGTGGTGCGAGAGGAGGGGGCGATGGCCTTGTACAGAGGGACCGTTCCCAACATGGTGCGCCTCGTGCCGTACGCCGCCGTTATGTTTGCGTCCTACGAAGCTGCCAAGGACTTTCTCAAGGCGTTGTGAGGATGGTGGTTCCAGTATACTTCACACAATCCGAGCGCCTTGTTTGGGCAATCCATGCCCCTTGACCAGAACTGGTCGGGCGGGTCTTGTCAAACCCGCCGTGGCTCCAAGAGTCCGTCGCCGCCGCCATCATCACCCCTACTACAACTAATCTAGTTCATCCTTGTCACGTTGTAATTTAACATTGCTGACCTTGTTACATTCTCATTGCCCATTATATATAGTGTTATCGTGATCGTAAGACAGCATGCTCGAGATTTGTAACGTATATAGTGTTAGCGTGATTGTACGACAGCATGCTCGAGATTTGTAACGTTAGAGCGGAATCATTATTGATGGGTTTGTGAAATTATATCGCGCGCCGAATGTCTTGGTTTGTTTCTCTGAGGACAACAAAACAACGTGGCAAGTATGCAATTTAATGACACATGTGTGGGTGGGTGTATGTGGTTTTACCACAGTAATGTAGCATTCACTATATAGAGTGGGGAGTTTGCACATCACAAATGACGTTCCACTTGGTTGTTGTGGCGGCTAATGCACGGTAAAACGCCTAACGGTTTGCAAAGCAATCGCGACATGCCCAAACTGGATCCGCCATGGTTAAGATTACGAGGGCAATCACCTCACTTGTAACCAAAATGGTGCAAGTCATCTAAAGATTATACTATATGTCGTTCAACACCTATTCCAACTTTGTATCGATACAGTATTAGTTACAGTTAGGAAAATAAACCGTAATAATAACGATACAGTAGAACTGGACAAGCCCACGGTTCAGAATTTCGATTAGTGAAAAATTGATCGAGGAATACTACTATAGTACAGTACTACGTAGTAGAATTTAAACCAACCGGATGGCGGATCTGTAGCCTTCGATGACGTGCACCATACTGGTACCGGTAATACAGTAACTTTGTGAGAGTACAGCCAATGAAACCGGTAATACAGTAACTTTGTGAGAGTACAGCCAATGAAGCACCTCGAGGCTTCGGGAACTGATTATAGGACTGTAAACCATCATATCTCGATGCCAAGGAGCGGGCGAATGCGTCCTTGAAAGAGAATACAATAATGGATGCGTGCTACGTTACTGTGGTAAAACCACATACACCCACCCACACATGTGTTATTAAATTGCATACTTGCCACGTTGCTTTGTTGTCCTCAGAGAAACAAACCAAGACATTCGGCGCGCGATATAATTTCACAAACCCATCAATAATGATTCCGCTCTAACGTTACAAATCTCGAGCATGCTGTCTTACGATCACGCTAACACTATATACGTTACAAATCTCGAGCATGCTGTCTTACGATCACGATAACACTATATATAATGGGCAATGAGAATGTAACAAGGTCAGCAATGTTAAATTACAACGTGACAAGGATGAACTAGATTAGTTGTAGTAGGGGTGATGATGGCGGTGGCGACGGACTCTTGGAGCCACGGCGGGTTTGACAAGACCCGCCCGACCAGTTCTGGTCAAGGGGCATGGATTGCCCAAACAAGGCGCTCGGATTGTGTGAAGTATACTGGAACCACCATCCTCACAACGCCTTGAGAAAGTCCTTGGCAGCTTCGTAGGACGCAAACATAACGGCGGCGTACGGCACGAGGCGCACCATGTTGGGAACGGTCCCTCTGTACAAGGCCATCGCCCCCTCCTCTCGCACCACTTTGGCGACGCAGTCGACCATGCCGTCGTATCGGGCGTTGGACCCCGACCCCTGCAACTGCAAGCGCTTCTTGATCGTGTCCAACGGGTACGCGACCACTTGTGCGACGGCCCCCGCGATGCTGCCTAGCGCGAGGTGGTCCACCGTCTGCAATTGGGTCTTGTTTTGGGGCCAGCGGCACGGGGGCCAGCGATGGGTCGTCGCATACGCTTTGCCATACTCGTAGCACGCAAACTGGATGCCTTCGAACGGGATAACCCCCACGAGCCCGGACGTGCACCCGCGGTAGAACCCCCGGAGGCCGTCGGCTTGCACGATGCGCCGGGCTTCGAGACGGATGGTCAGAGGCACGGGAGACACGATGAGTCGCGTCCGAAGGAGCTCCATGGGGTACACGATGAAGGTCGCTGCTATGCCCGCAAGCGCGCCACACGTGACTCGGCCGACGTTGGTCGGGGCGTCGTTGTCTCCGTGTGCCAGCGATTGCAATTGGTCAAATAGACAGAACTTGACGCCAGCGTACGGTCCGAGGCGGCAGCACCCCGCCAAGTTGCCTTTCCAAAACCCCGTAAGACCCCTCGTTTGGAACAGCGTGCGGCATGTGGATTGGAGCGTCGTAGCCCCTTGACTTTTCACTTGAAACAAGATCTTGAGCACATCCAGGGGCGAGGTCGTGGTGCGTGTGACGCAGCCAGCAATCACCCCCGCAGCCACCGACTGCCATCCCTTGCGCGTTCCCGCGGGGCAGCAGTTGGGGGTGGTCGCCAAAATGATGCCTTGTTGGTTGTTGGTGTTCATGGTTTGTTGCATTTTGAATTGTGTGATGTGAGCGACAACTAGCAGATTGATCTCCTGCTTTACATTTCAACTTCTTTCGAAAGTTGTCACAGGCTTTGGGGGGGTGCCTTGCTCTACATGTTGCAGTTGGCGCCGTCACGTATTGGCCAATCTTGCTAACCGTGGTTAGTCATGTTGAGGGCGTCGTGGTATTTATAATGTCAAGTTAATTGCATCCAATCAACAAGGGCTTCGTAAGATGACAATTCGCTAGGAAAATATCGCAGAAAGGTTTCTGTCGACTGCCATGAGTTGGCAACGGGGTAAACACAAAACCGACCAATGGCGACTTAAAGGCGATTGACGTGCTTAAGCTACTTCTGCACATAGGCTTCGAGGTGCCTTTAAGAGATGGGTACAATAACGTTATATTCGAAGTAGTTGCCGATCAAGTCATTTTCGATCAACACTACGTCGTATAGTACTTGAGTAGCACACTAACATAGGACATTTCAATTCGGACAATACCGCCCTGCCGAAAAATGTTCTAGAACACCTGTCAGTCATTTCTTACCCGACAACGAACACGCGACATTCCAACAAGGCGGCTTGACAACGCATACTCAAAGATCCCACCATGCCACGCAAACTCCTTTCCAAAATATATTTACGCAGTACAGCTACTACGAACGTTCATCTTTGGACGATTTCGGGGGGGGGGAGTCATATTAGGATTATTCGTCATAACAACAAAGCTGTTTCCCCAGTCGTTCGTGATGTTAACTAGAAGAACAAGATGCGAGGGCGACGTGCACACTTGATGGGGGACATGGATGGCCATCAACAACGGGGGGTGGTTAGTTGCCCCTTGTTCATTCGAGATACCGGTGGATCAATTCGTTGTACCGCTTGCGCAGCATGGCCGGTTCTTCCGACAGCAAAAAGTTCTTGGTCAGTTCGTACGTGGTAAACATAATGGCGGTGTGGGGGGCCACACGGAGTAGGTTTGGTAGAGTCCCCCGATACAGCGCTGGGACCCCTTCATTTCCCACCACTTGGACGAGGCAATCCGCCATGCCGCGGTACTTCTGCCGTTGCCCCCCTTCCCCGAATGCTTGAGCTTGCAACCGTTTCTTAATGGTGTCGAAGGGGTACGCCACCACTTGTGCCATTGCGCCGGCGAGGCAGCCCACGACCAAGTAATCCAACGTCTCCAACGACTGCTTGTCATCGTGCCAGCGCCAAGCAGGCCATCGATGCGTGGTCATGTACACCTTGGCGCTTTCAAAACAGGCAAATTGGGTGCCTTCAAACGGAATCGCTCCCAGCAAGCCTGGCCCAAGGCCTCGGTATAGCCCCCGCAGTCCTTCGGCTTTCACCAACGTGGAAAAATCTTGAAGGATTCCGGTCGACTCGCTGGGTTTCAGAGACTGGAGGATGATGCGAGTGCGCACCACTTCCAGCGGATACGCGGCGACCGTGGCCATCATGCCCGCACAAGCGCCACAAAACGCGCGCTGGCTATGCGCAGTGGACAATATTTCTGGGGGCGAGCCATGTACCAACGACTCGAACACGAAGAATTTGACACCAGCGTATGGCCCAAGGCGACAACAGCCGGCGAAATTGCCCTTCCAAAACCCCCGAAACCCGTTGGTGCCGTAGATATGGCGACACGTGTCCACCATAGACGACGCCCCGCGCCGTTTCTGCGTGGACTTGTCGAGCTGGAAAAGAATTTTCAACACATCCAGGGGCGATGTGCAGGTGCGAGTGACGCATCCCGCTACGATGCCCGCTAGGACCGAGGCCTGGCCTGACGTAGGGGCACTGGACGACGTGGTCATAGTTGCGTGTTGAAAGTGGTGGGACGATGAATTCATATCATTGGCTGAAAAGGACACGTCACTGAGATGCTAGTAATCCCTCGTCCCACGTAAGGGCAAAGCATGTCATCACAAAGTCGAAGTTGCACAATTGCTCAACTACCGGTAGTAGTATGCACTAATACTGTGCGAGATTAATACCTACTAAGGTAAACCATCAATATCGCGAAAGCTTTTTGTGCACTAAAATGTCAAATGTTTGAAGCACTCCACCACAATCCCTCCAATAAAAAAAGCTATGGTGCTCACGCAGTGGGAGTTGTCCTTGCAAGCAGCGTATCGCTTGACAATCGAGATAAAATACGTGCTTTGACTACATCGGATGCTGTCTGACGCATGTGCGGCGGCTCGACGGCGTCGACTCGGACCTATGCAATTGAAGATCGGCATCTGTCTAGGATTTTATGGGGAGACGAGGATCAAAACAACGACACAGCGACGTCGTTTCTTAGTTCTGTGTGCGTTAAGCTACGTTGAGCACCAGGTATCCGAGACATCCGGTACAACCTCAATGCTGTGTCCGACGCCAACGCACTGCTGGACTTCCGCTTCGATGCCATGGGAATCAAGAAGTTGGGCTACCTACTTGGTCTCCCCGCTGTGGTGATTACTCAATGCTATCGTGCTTCCTGGGACGACGCGATGTATATTATGCTCGGCCGTCCAACTCGGTTCCACACCATGACGCAGACGTTTGGGTGTTCACGGGCTGCTTTGTGCACAATTCTTGTCCAATGTAATTGGAAGAAGAAGAATGACATCTTTGTCGTTGAAGACGCGGCGGCGCTAAGGAGTCTCCATGCCAATCAAGTACTGCACGCAGCTCAAACCTGGTTTGGTTGGAGGGTCGTGCAGTTCTTGATTGGCCAAGAACCGGCCAATCATATGCAGTTATCACGGTCAGACTGGACCCAGATGTGCACTTTTAGCGGATTGGCAATCAGATATACAGTAGGAGTACGCGTTTGCGTTCCATATGAGGTTTGACAGGCCGACTTCCGGCTTTGGCAGCTAAGTCGCGAACGGACACTTGCAAAACCTCTCTAATATCGCAAAGGTCCATCCATCTACCCATCTACTCCTCCATACATACGCTTACTTTAGTCTATGTTAACAACGTTACGGACTCTATACATACACGAAAATGCCACAGAAGCACTCAACTCTACTCCATGTTATACTACGACGTTATGTCATGTGCACGCGTTGAATCAGTCGGTTGTTGTACACAACAACGTCGAGCACACTTTCAAAGCTCACCGACGACCCGATCCAGGTTGTGCGGTACATTCCTTGGTTGTTCCATACACGCCACACGAGGCCTTGTTGCAGCTGGGTGATATTGTACCGTGGAAAGTAGTTGTGGACCGTCTGGCCAAGCAGCTTGGGGTTGCTAAACTTGGCTTCGTTCAAGTCGGCGAGCAATTGACGCTGGCTCGTGGCTGCGTCGGAACTTCTGACGCCACGGTTGTAAAACTGATATGCGACGCGCCTTTGCCGCCCGGTGGCGTTGACTCCCCAGTCGGTGGGAACGGGGTCGGCGGGGGATCCGTGCGCCGGCATCGGGTTGAATATCGCTAGCCGCGAGTTTCGCGTGAGCTGGAGGCGGCCCTCCGTGCGGCCGACCCCGCGCATGGGCCACCACTGGGACACGCTTTCGTTTTGGTGGGCGTCCGAATCAAAGAGGGTGACCACGAACGCCGACGACGCAAACTCGGCCCCAAAGAGGGGTTTTTCAATACCGTACATGTCAGTAGGGATGGGCGCGTTGCGGCTCAAGTCGACGGCATACACGATGTGGTCGGCAAAGATCACGTCGGGTTCGCCGTTTTTGAAGAGGGCAATGTACACGTACGCCTCTTCGCGCATAATGTGAAACACTTGCGCGTTGTACATGACTTTGATTTGGTTGGGATACGCGTTCACCATGGCCTTCCATAGCGACTGGTACCCCTTGGACAAGATAAACGTCCACGGCTTGCCTTGGCTGTCGGCGATTTGGCGCTGTCGGATCATCTCAGGGTGGACCCACCACAACATGTAAAACGCCGGCGCCGTGTCCAATGGCCCGTACCCTTGTTGTTGAAACACAAACCGGAAGAACCCTTCGAGCACGAGCAGGTTGTTTTGCTTGAGAAAGTCTAGGCCAGACATGCTCACACGAGCCCAATTGTTCGTCGGTTGGGGGGGCAGCCCGTAGTCGTACACGCCAAAGATGGACGTGTGGACGTCAATGTAGCGGGCAAACCCGTCGTTCACGGCCGCGATGAGTTGCTGAACTGGCAATGGCCCTACGACTTGGGCGGCGAGTTGCAGCACGTATGCATTGTAGTCGCCCGTGGGGATGGCGTCTCTGTTGACCCACGTGTGCCCTTTGACACCGGGAAGAAACGGAACCAGTCGGTTCGTTGGGTCGTACTCCTTGAGCAAGTGAAACACAGGCTGGTACAACGATGTGGCGTAGCATGTGCCCATTTCGTGGGGGTAGCCAAGGGGGTCGGTGATAGTGTTGGACTTGCCTCCAATTTCACCCGACGCTTCCATGATGGTGATCTTTGTAAACCCTTTCTTGGCCAAGAGGGTGGCGTAGTGCACCCCCGCTGGCCCCCCGCCCACAATCACAATGCGATCATGGCGACCCATGTGAATCGTGGTCGGAGAGGCGGTGACGATGGCTGGTAACGCAACCAAGAGAGAGGCCAAACCGACGAGGAGCATGGCTAGCGGACGCATCGTCGGAGGAGCAGGTATGGGAATGACGCCTGACCGCGGTGTTGGATAGTATGCTTGACACAACGTACAACCGGATATAAGTACACCAAATACCGGGTATTAGAATCTTGGGATCTGAGATTTGGACAACATCACGACCAGGCACTTGCTGTTCGTAGCCAATCAAATCGCACGAATCACCCATTCAGCATTGAATTTACCAATCACTTGAGGACATTGCCGATATTTGTATGTCGTCCAACCCTTCTGTTTTACTGGAAACGTTGCTTGTTAATTCGAGGAACTCGCGTTGGTCGTTTGGACCACAACTTTCGACAAGGCAATTCCTTGGGTTCAAATGGATTGGGCAACTTTATACCACTACGTAGTACTAGTATGTACTGTAGTGGTATACTAGTATAGTACGAGGCTAAACAATGAACGCGCGTGCGAAAAAGATTGAATCTAGCGGTATACTAGCACATAGTATTATCTCTTGACATTTGAAGTGCTCAGGTATTAATAGTAGTAGTATGATTTAAATGAGGATTTAGCGATTACTACCATTGTGCCTGTCCATACATGATACTAGTATACGTTCTTAAAGCCGTTGAGCTTGCCCCTTTGCCATTCACTTGAACTGCACTTCTCAAAGCAGAGGCCTCATACATACAGACGGACGGGAGAATATCCACCAGAGGCATTTACGTCCAGTCCGTTTGTCGATAGAAAGTGCAATGTCATGGTAGCCAGCGCACCAGGGCAGAATATTTATCACCCAAAGTTAGCATAAGCGTTACTGCAATCGCGTAATTCCCGTAATCATTTCAAATCTAAAGAACCAGTAGCCCTGAAAACTTGGAACCCGGCCCCCTGGTGTTGCCGTTCCTGGGGTAAGTGCATCGCACAGTGAAATGGTAACGTTAGTACATTTTTAGCCCCTAGCCGGAATGTTTGTTTTGGCTTACACTGCATTTGACTATTGGTATGACAAAATAAGAACAAGTGATATGATTGCGTAATCAACAGTGGAATTGCTGCTATCAGGCAACAAACTAGGTGAACCCGTTGCTCTGCCGCCGGTGTTAATTGCCGGTTGGAGCAAGATATGTAGTTTTTGTTGCTGCTTATTGTTGTGAACACCGAGCAGAACATGCATGACATGAACGTACCTTGCATCATCCAACACAATTCTCCAATGACGCCATGCCAGAATTGTGGGGCCACGACAGTCTAATTATACACCAATATATAACCAAATGGAATAGTTGTGTCTTTGTTTTTGTTTTGCGTATTGAAAGTAGTGTTTTCTGACTTAATGGGACGTAATATTGCAGGTTAGTGAATTGCAATGGGTGAGATATCATGGTGATAGTGAATTTCGTATTCCTTCGATCACATGTCACACAACAACAATAATTGACCGAATAAAATAGTTGCGTCTTAGCTATTGTGTTTTCCTGTTGAAAACTGAGTTTTCTGACTGCTCTGGACAAAATATATCTGGCTACTTGTATGTGTACAGTACTCGCACCGTACAGTGTGTGAGAGAAGCGTTTCGAAACAAACACATGGCAGGTCAGTGGACATTTCTACTTGGTTTCAGTATATCGATGAAGTGGGAGTGCCGTTCCTCCCACACGACCAAATGACTTGACATTTTTAAGGAAACGACACCACGACTGTGTCACTTCCATAACCTCGTCGCCGTTTCTTGAAACGTTGTCTACTAACCCTTTTCCTTCATACATGATAACATTGACTCTTTGGTCGTGATTTCTGTAAACGCATCATTAAATTTGGCGTTTTCTGATCAAAAGTGTGGCAGGGCATTTGAAAAGTGTAAGCTGGAAATCCGAGCCAAGTTCACATCAAGCTAATCAGATTTCATTTTAAAAACGACGTCATTTGAAATTTCACCATAGACAAAAACAAAAGACACTTTTTGACCCTTACAAACGCGAGCTTAAAAGCTACTTTAATGAGAAGAGTAGTTTAGATACCTGCTGTGGGGGAATTATTCTTGTTTCATCACAGTTCTGATCCGTCAGTTCGTGCAACTCTCAAGTCGAAATCGTACCGGTATTTTTGCACTGCTACATATTGAAGTACTGTAGCACACCTTTTTTCTATTGAAACAGACAAATTTTCAATTGATTGGCTCATGCATCCAATGGATTTGCATTTGCGTCCACGTATTTGGTACGCGATCCACTGGAATCGGCACATGCAGCTCGTGTGCCCAATGGATTTGGTACATAAACCATTAAACTCGGCATCCACCCAAACAAACAATCGTCCGTCGCTTGGATTTAATGATGAGTGCAATTGAATCGGTAGAATTGATAT